GCAGCACTACCATGGAACCCGGGCGCTCCACCAGGGTAACCCCCGGTAGGAGCCCCTCCACTCGGGCCTCCACAACGCCCAGCGGGACCTTGGCCTCCACCATAATGCCCAGGACCTGGTGGTGGAGCTGGGGCATGTCCATGACCACCACTTCCGCTCCCACCCTGACCAGGTGGTCCGCCTTGCCCACCACCTCCCCCGGGAGGAGGAGGAGGGGGCGGTCCAGCTTGCGCGCGCTCATGCCGAATATTGCAGCGCGCACACCGCTCATGGCCGTCACTTCCAAAGTAACTGTGACTCTCACAGACGTGAGTCCCACAATCCGTGCAGAAATACATGGAGACCTCCAGAGCATTCTTGCGACATGCCCAGCATTTCATTTTCAAGAACTGACAATTGCAACAGTCCCCGTCGTCACCACGGCAAAGCCCGCAGAACTCACGACGGCATGTCACACACGAGAATTCAGCATTTGGGTGCTTACGGTCGTTGGGATCATCGAGGGCACAAATCTTTGGCGCGTCTGGGCCATCACCGCCGGGAGCCCCTCTTGCAGCCGGCGCTGATGCCTGTCCACGATCCGAAGGAGCTCCAGCAGTCCCTCGCCTATCGCCGGGACTCCGGGTGTCGGCGCTGGCTCTACTCCCAGGAGTCCTCCACTCATCACCAGGACTCTGGATGTCGGCATGGACCCTATTATCCCCACCACCTCCTGAATGACGACCTGGGTTCGGAGAGACATTCCCGCTATCGCGGATTGGCCTATCAAAATTCGGAGAGACGCTCCCGCTATCACGGATCGTCTCCCCCCTCGGTTGTCGACTCCGGACCTCAGATCCCCTATCGGGGACGGCAGCAGGCTTCGGGCTCCTATTCCTACCCGCATCCCTATTGGGGGAAATAGAAACGTCCCCCCTTGCGCGCGCGCGGGGATCACCCCTTGCACGCTCCGGTGGCGAATGTGACCTGTCAGGCAACCCCCGAACCCTCCTGCTCCTGCTGTCGGACCTCTCCCTAACGGGATAGATGGGATGCCTGTCTGCGCGAGAAGGATCTACCCTATCGGGCACATTCGGCGAAACATGATCAGGTAAAACAGCGCCTCCGCCTGGTCTCACCGGACGGCCAGTACCCCGGCCGTCACCTTCCCCAGGTGTGGGCGTCGGAGACCTGATCCTATGTCCCTGCCCCGCAAACGCATTGTAACCAACATTCCGTCTATCTCTGGGTTGTTGAGGAGCCTCATTAATCTGCTGGACACCCTGAATGATGCCAGCGGCCTCGTCAAATTGACCCTCCATTTCAAAGAGCTGAGCCATGATTCTGTTGTGCGCTGCGCTAAGATTACGCACGTTACCATCGATAGCGCTGATTCTCCGCATAACACCTTCAAGTGTGCTCCGGAATGTGCCGAGCTCTCGCCTAACGGCAGGCTGCACTTGGTCACTGCTGGCAGGAAGATTACGGATCTGTCCTTGAATGTTATCAACGACCCGATTCACAATTGCCGATCTCGCTTCATACTGTTCAACGTGTGACTTCACGGTCTCAAACCTAGAAATGATGTCGTCATGATCCCGACGTTGACGTTGAATTCCTCGAGCCAGATCCTGCATTTTCCGATTGACCTCGTCAATAGCCTCATGCCAGTCCTGCGGGGAATCACGTTCTGATGGTCTATCGACCTCCTGAGATCCCCTTCCACTTTGCAGCCTCGACACTCGGTTAGCGAGACGGGTGTGCTCTTCATTGATCCCTTCAATAGATTCAGAGGCCCACTTGGCAAATGCCTCGTGTTCATGGAGAACTTCCCCGATCTTCAGGTTTAACTCCCTGAAATTCGCGTTCACCACACTGCTACTGGCCCTATCGGACAGTTGTGCAACAGGATTCAAATTCACTTCACCTGCTGGTGTCCGAATCCCGACGGTTTTCTCTACCGAGAACATCCGTTTCCCAAGCTTGTCCAAGTCCTTAAGGATCTCGTCCTCAGAAGCAGCATGGCTCCTGCGGGCAGCCTCATTATTCTCCTGAATCATCAGGCGAAGCCGATCAGTCGATGCCTCATTGTCCCTGACAGATTCATGGACCTCGTGGGACAGTAGGTTAATCCTCTGCTCCACGACCTCGGCTTGCTCATCGATGGCTTGTCTCACAATGGCCTTGCTATCGGGAATAACTTCCCTTGCGAACCGTTGAACTATCATTCGCATCCTCCCGGCATCAGATTGAGTCGCAACCTCAGCTGCCAGGCGATCGACCTTGTCCTTCGTCCGTTGACTCTCGTCGCTCCATTCCCTTCGCATGGAACTCACCTGACCGTTCAGTACCCTGATTTGGTCAGCAAAGATGTGGAACGCCTTCGCGACTGAGCCAGAAACCTCACCTCTCTCGAGCATCTCTTGGATGTGCAAATCGAACACCTCCTTCGCCCTAGCGTCACCTGATTCGCCGGAAGACTGGGATCTAAGGGCGGGAGGAGTCGATATCTCGATCCTCTCAGGAGCCCCACTAGCCCCGGCATGTCTTCTGGGTTCATCCACGGGACAATCACCAACCCCAGATGGCCTGCTAGGAGTAGAACCCCTTCTACGGCTATCGCCGGAACGGGGATCAACATGGGACGCACAAGACTCGGGAGTAGAGTGGATGTGAACATCAGCAGGATCAGGCATCTCCTCATCCTGCGGAGTTGAGTCCATTGGTGAGGGGCTAGCCCTCCTCGCCTTCGACCTATCGGTCTCAATGGCCAGGGGTGACGGTCTCTTCGCAGAAGCACTACGTTCCCTGGCGGTCGAGCCCCATTGAGGTGTGAACTCGTTGCTGGACCTTAGCGTTTCAAGGTCACTGGTATCTCGCCCTAACGGGCTAGCGATCGACGGACGATCCTCGATTCCGAGTGCATCGGCAAGCCGACCATCTCTGGCACCTGTCCTAACGACATCGGCAGCCCGCTCAGTGATCCTCGGCGAACCAGTAACCCGGTTCGAGTTCACGTCTCTCTGATTCAACGGACCTCCAAAGGTGATGTTGGGAAAAGGGGGAACATTCGGGGTATCACCAATCGCCGGGGGACCTACCGGTCCCTCACGGTCATGGATGGCCTCCAATCCCCGAAGAACTTCCCGACTGTCCCTGGCTCTCTCTCTCTCGCTTCGGGCATCCCTGTCAACGCGAAGGTCCCTGGCGGCTCCACGAGAGAGGCTCCTGGGCCTCGCAGCATCACGGATCCTAGCATTTCGTCGCGATTGGTCCTCGTCCTCATCACGGCGATCCGCAAACGCGGCATACTCCTCATCATCATCGACCTCAAAATTGGCAGCGGCGGGACTAGTCCTTGCAGTCGCACGGCTGCCTGCATCTCGGCGTGAATAGCTCTCCTCCTCATCCGCAAAATTGTAACCTTCGCCATCATAAGACTCAGATTTGGCAGTATTGGGGTTGGGCCTACCGGCATCAGATCCCTGCTTTGAGCTACTGCCCCAACCTGCGGTTGATTTCAACAGATCATCGTATCCGAAGCCTGAGAACTTCCGCTCCTCGTGCTCATCAAACTGACCTGGATTCTGAGAACCAGTGGGTCGGCCCGGGATACCTCCCGGAACCAGAACCATAGTCCCTGGTCCCTGCGGCCTACTCTCAAACTCGTCTGAGACCTGCGACTCACCTGGAACAAGAGATCTCGGAGGTCGAATCGGCATGGCCTCCGGGTCATCCGAATGAGGGCGGGCCATGTCCATCGCCATGCTGATGAAGTCAAAATGTCCACGCCTGTGACCTGATTCAGAGCCACTCCTATCGGAGTAAACCCTTCGTGTCTGCTCGTCATCAGTGGCCTGGCGGAAAATACGATCGTCTCCATCGTCGGCGTACCTGCCACGGCCCCTGGGTGCATCCCTACCGGGATCTTCACCCCTGCGGTCCTGACCTGTCGAACCTGCTTCGAAATCCTCGTAGTCATAGTCCGGTAGGTCCTCACCTGAGCGGAGGCCACCTAGGATGGCCTCCTCATCCACGACGCTCCTTCGTCGTGGGGTCGACCTCAAGCGCGTAGGAAAGTCCTACGGCTGATAACCTGTGATTCGGGCACGAGCCTGTGCCCAGGCAATGGGTAAGTTGGGGTAAACAAGCCACAAAAGAAAGGTTCCCCAAAAGCAAACCAATCCCCGGTCCCAAAGATCAGGGTTTCCCACACACCAGAGAACAACAACCAAAGGAAAACAAACCAAACATTAACCCGCAACCTTGGTCGACAACAGGCCGCACGACTGGTCCCTACCAACCTGGCGGCGGCCCGAGGTCTCTTTCTCCCCCGAGATGCCGTCGGTCGACGCAGGGGTTCGGCGACGCCCATTCGAGGCGCGACGGAACCCAGAACTTGAGCCAAAGTGGCACCGGATAGTTGCTATCGCAACATGCCGGTAGTCACCTGAAATGCATGGCTAATCACATTACTATTACGTTGCTTTTGTTTTCTTCGTAGCTCTGTCTCTTTTCCATTTCCTGGTCTCTTCTCTGATGGTAAATCCCATGCCTTCGCAGGAGCCCAAGAAGGGCTCCGAGAGTGACTAGGGGTCCGTCTCAAATGGCTAAAAAATGCTGGAGACCGCCGACCAAAATATTGAAAATCATACCCATAACTGGCCCATAACCAACCCATACCCATACCATCACTTGCATTGTATTCGAACCCATACATATTTGCAAAATACCCATATAGTATACAGACTTATACCCTTACTCATTATCGAACATCCAAACCACGCGAAGCACATCCCCACAAGCTCTCTGTGGCCTGCCAAAATTAATGTCCTAGTAAAGCCTCCTTCTTTTGGACAAACACACCAGAGCATTGCTTCGGACCAACCCAGAAACCTGAGATATGGCCACTGAATCTTGACAAATCGTCCGTAAAATCGAGAGGTGCCAATTTTTGCCATAGCCCACAGCTGCAACAGGAATTGTCTGGGTGCCTGCCAAAAGAGTGCTGGGGGCCGGGCTCTGAAAAGGCTCCGTCCCATGCTGCGACTTGTGAGCCTGAAGCTCTGCTCAGTGCTTTGAGGCTTTTGGGTTGGGGAGGGGAGCGGGGGGGGGGGGGGGGGAGGTGTGGGAGTTGTACTGTGCTTGTTTTTGAAGAGGGCGCGGGTGGTGGGGGAGCAAAAGGCAAAAGAATGGGGAAGAAAAGAGAACAAGATCAAACAACAGGTACACCCCAATCGTGCGCCTCCCCAAATAGAGAACCCTCTTTTGGTTGGAGCGGAATTTCATTTCGAGCTTCTCGGGCAAAGGACCCCTTGTTCTCAAAAGAACAACCCGGAAAGCCTTGACTGTTTCGACATCGCACGTATGGAGCACCTACCTCAGTTCAATGGATTCGAGTGGAGCGGTTTTGAATGTTTGGATTGATTCTCTCTTTACCTTCAAGAGCAGCTGTCTCCATGAGGGTGTCAGGTGACCCAATTGCAATAGTGGGCAAACAAGGATCTTCCCTGTTTGGCACCTTCCCATGTACATCGCAGCCTGGAAGCACTTGGTTTACCCAGTGGCGTTCTAATCTAAGGTCCACGCATTGCTGATACAAAGCTAGGTCGAAAGCATGCCTAAAAACTTGCAAAAGCTGTGATCTTCAAAGCAAGCAGTGCTCAATGCCAGCTGTGTGCAGATGCGTGATGTGCGTGTATTTCTGAGCGTGGTGTGACTGTATGTATGTTGCTCTCTGTGTGCGTGCCTGTATGCTCTTGTGGGCTTGTCTTGGTCATGTCTGTTGCTTGCCCTTTCTGCCATCTTATTTCTGCCAGCCTCCAAGTGCGCGTCGCAACGTGGGCGTCGCACTCCGAACATAACAGCTCCCATCCCAAGCAGACAAAACGTCCGTGCGCGCTTTTTCACCAGTCGGCACAGTTCACCATCCGGCATCGTCTAAAGCTCACCCACAGCCTCCCCAGATGTTCGGCGTTAGCCTTGCCACGCTTTTAAGCGATCGAGGACGGCTTCCTCGTCCAAAGCAAGGGCCTCTCAGGGCTGGCGATTCAAGGTGACACGGTCCAATTCTGCTTGCTTCTACTTTACTTCCCTAGGCAACCCTCCCCCCCCCCCCCCCCTCGTGAACCCTGAGAAGCGCCCCGGGCTTCACCACAAGGCTGCCTATTTTTGTTGAGGGGCTTTATGGGCCCCTGAGCTGTCAGGTTCTCAGCCGGGTTGAACCAGTCAAAAGTGGGGTGACCCTGAATGGACTCCAACAAAGAAGCCTCCAGGATCCACACACAGTGTGAGCCACGTGACGCAAGCTGGAACCTATTTGTTAGAACCCAATCACTAGCTTTCGCCACCTTACGCGGGTGAAGCTTTTCCTTACGCGAACGCATGTGAAGATTTTGCTTGCGCCGCCAGCTTCCGCAACCTTACGCACGTGGAGATTTGGCTTACGCACAGGTCGATATGACACGGCTCGTACTAAACAGGAACACGGAGGTTTTGGACGCAGCTCATTTGGCCCCCTCCAATAGAACACCCACACGAAATTGCCGGTCGATTTTTATGTTTTCACGCGTGCCAAAATGCCAAGGGGTCCATAAGGGTTTGTCAAAGCCCATAGATGAGCAACTGACAATATTACCTCCCCGACTGTACGGCTTCTTCAAAAGCTCTCGACATGCCGAAGTGCGTGTCCCAGCGTCCGACCTCATCTACCGGAGGCAGCAAAGAGATGTCGGCACCAGCATCTAAAGCAGCTTGCATGACCTGACCAAAGCCATCTGGATGCTTCCCCCAAAGATGGGAACCCTTGCAAGTGGTTGGCTTCATGTTGGTGTCCCTTGCGATTTCCTTTTTACCCCGTCTCACTTCACGAGGGGTTTGCTCCCCCCATTCTGCACCCACAACTCGATGCACAAAGCCTCCTGTTCCAGCTCTTCATCTTCTTGCTTCTCTCGCTTCAGCAACATCTGCACCATCTGCGCGTTGCCCTGTGCGTCGGACAACTTAGGCCTTGGGCCCACACCAAAACACCAATTGCCAAGATCGCAAACTGGCGCACGCCTCCCGGAACCCCTGTGCAACCTTTGGAGCCCTCCAACCTGCCTCCCACGATCCCAACAAACCGGTGGATTCGGCTTGTAAAATCAAACCCCCACCTCAGAGAAAGGTTCTGAGAATCTTCTGGCTAGGACCCAACTGTTTTCCTGGTCTGTATGCAACCATGCTTCTACTTACAAAGGTTGGCGTATCACCAGGCCCTGACGCACCCAGCACCCACCCGTCCTCGAGAATGGCGAGATCGGTCACCGTCAGGCCGTTGGCTTCCTGCTTCAGGACACTGGCCTGCGAAATGTTCCGCAGGGGCCGCGAGACAAAGCTCCAATTGGCCCCCGAACACCGTGGAATTGGCCCAAGGTCTGGCAGTGCTGATGCGCAAACCGGAATTCAGCAGATCCCCTTCGAGAAGCTTCGTGGGCACGGATCGGCCCGAATCGCTCGCTCCGAGCTCGAGCCATGTGCGGCGAGTGTGCCGAGTGCGAAACGTTCACGAAGCGAACCTTGGCACCGATGAGAAGCTTCGCAACCTTAGAAGTGATTCGAACGTTTCACTCCTTTCGGTTGTTTGGTTTGGCATCCGGACGCTTTTCGGGGTACCTTCCCAGACTGGTAAAACAAACTAGGGTCCAAATCCAAACCACAGCCTGCATGGGACACAGCAAAGTTCTTCAATTGGATGTTCCATGTGTTGGTGGCAGGAAAAATGAGAACACAGTTATCACACCCAAAATGGCTCCTTTCCCTTTTGGTCTATCTTTAAAATCGCCAAACTGGGTACATCTGGGTACCCTAGAAAAAGACGAGCCACCCGCACTGTGGCCCTTGGCTCTTCCGGGAAGGGCTCTTCCGTCTTTGAGAGTCCGGCATCCAGCTTGTTGAACATGACTGCCACCATGAGAGCTGAAACCCCTGGACAGAACATGGAATCCGAAGCCTTGGCTGCCCATTCGTGTCCCTTTTTCCCGCAAGAACCCACCCTCCATCCCCCCCCAACAATAATCGCCCTCCAAAAACCAAGAAGAACAAGCCACCCCACACAAAAGCCGCCTCTGCCTCTCTCGAGCGCAGAATTCAGCGCGCGAGAGTGGCTCCAGCCTGTGTCAGTCTGCGCGTCAACATCCGCCTTCTGTTGCAGCAAGGCTGAGCATGCCTGGCAATGCGACAAACGGCCAGATGACGGAACTTGAAAATACGTGTCACCTCACATCCCTGTAGCAGGGTGCCATAAAAGAAATGACCACACATCCCTTTTCCCAAAGCGAATCTGAATCCATGAGCTCCGCTTCAACAAACGTTCACAGAAGGTCCACCAAACCTAAGGACCACAGGTTACCCGCTGCCAACCCTGTCAGGGCCTCCCCCAGTTTCTATCTGGTCGTTTAGAACCACCACTTTCATGTGCTTTTCAAAAGTAGACGGACACCTCCGAACCGTTGGCCTCCTACTGCTCCCGTTTTGAAGCAGGGTTCAAAACAGAAGTTTACAGGCGAGGGGTCTTCCATCAATTTTTAGCCATTAAAAGCTTCGTGAGTCCGCCTGCTTTTGGTGGTTGATTTTTTGGGTACAGGTCCCTCCCAATTGACCACAGGCTGGACATCAGTCGGAAAGACAGAAGAACGCTCGGACACCGCTCCCCAATCCTGGCCCTCGGTTTCAGCAAGCCACTGGTGTTTTTTCGTTTTTGGGATCGGCCAAGGGCTATGAAGTAGAAGCTTTGAGGCATTCAACGTTTCTAGTTGAGAGGTACTCTAGATGCTCCCATCTTTCGCCTCCAGGTTTAACCATTTGGCTATATCTCTTGGGAATCCGCACCCCCGAACATGGACTTTGTCTGTTCCGTTCTGCTTTTTCTTCTTGTCGCCACAAAACAAAGGTACCCTTCGGGCGCGGGATCGACCCAAGCCAGGAAGAAAGAAAGAAAGCTTGGTTGACGTTGGAAAAAAACAACAAACAAAATTTTAGCAGTTACGTGGGGATTTCCCACTAAACCACAAAAAGGAAACATGTAAAATGTTTCCCAATGAAAGGAAGAAAGGTATACCCTTTGCGTCAGCAGACATCAGACCCATTTCCCCTGAAACGGTGTCGGTGTCCTTCGTCGGTTTTTCGGCCTGCAAGAGGCCGAGCCGCACCGCGAAGTGCAAGGCTTCGGCTCCGAGGCTCTGCCTCAGAAACGCCCAACCCGAAAGCCCCTAAACGGCCAAACACCACGTGCCTGCTTTTTTTCCCTCCTTATTTTGGTGGGGGTTTTTGGAGCCCAACATTTGGCAGGTGTTTTGGAGCCCAACATCTTGTTTGAGTCTGTTGTCAGGTGGTTGGCCGGGCTGTGTTGGGACTTGTTTGGGACTTGTCTGGCTTTTTGAGGGGTGTTTGGGGGACTTGTTTGGGAGTTGGCATTTTTCTGTGTTGTGTTGATTTGAAAGAGAAACCAAGCGGAAGCCACCCTTTAAGAGGGCTCCAAAAAAACAAACCCAAAGGACACGAACAAAACAAAGCTAAGCTTGGTATCAAAACAATTCGTTGTTTTATGGATATGCTTTCTTTACGTGGTAGGACACCGTGGGCGGCTTCATGTCCAACCGCTTTGGAGGTTCACTTGCCTTGGTGAGGGTTCCTTAAAGGATGCCTGTTGGAAAGAGTGACTGGTTGCACTGCCAATAAGGATTCGGACCAAACAATGCCCGGCTTCCTTTCGGTTTCCCTTCGGTTCACCAAAGAGCAAGTGCCCGAGTACCTCTCGACTGAGTCAAACCCATGGTCGCAACGGTGTATGAACAGCTTGCCATCCCCCCAAAAAGCTATGTCAGCTCTAAAATCACCATAACCCCACTTCATGTTCAAAAAAAAAAAAAAAAAAACAACTCCAATATCTCCAATCCCACACCTACAATTGCTGCGATCCTCTGTCGACCCCGGTCTGTCTTCTGTTGCGGTCACCCCTTTGGAGGATTTTCAAACCGTCGCGCCCCAATTTATGGGGGTTCCGGATCCCGAGCCCCTGGCTTGAACTTGGCGAAGCCCGGATCCCACCTGGGCGCCGTCTTTTTTTATCCGCAGTGCTTTGGGGCGACAAACCACTTGTTTTGTATTGCTACTTCTTTCTGTTTATTTTCTTCTTTTTTTTTGGGGGGGGGGCGGGTCCTTTTTTTGCTTGTTTCATTGTGTGTTTTTTTTGGGGGGAGGAGGTCAGCCAGCCTTTTTCTTGCTTGGGGGGGCGGGGGGTCCGATTCTTCTGGGAAGTAATTTAAACATACAGGCTTGTCATGGTAAATACCTCCTTTTTGTTGGGGATTGACGTCACACCCTAAAACAAATGATCTGGGTTGTCAAACATATTGTTTCGTCTTGGACCCTGGTGTAGCCGGTACGTGCCGCCTTTTGCCCCGGCCCCCAATTAGAAATAGGATTTGGAGCTGCAAAATGGGATGCTTCGGTTTTCCTTTTCGGCTGGTTCCCTTACCAACCCGCAAGCAGGGCATGCCCCATCACCCGATGTCAACCCTCTGAGGAAGCGCACGGCTCAGCCAACCTCTCGTTGAGGTCGATCCCCGATTTGGCGATCTGCACCTTTGCTAGGTGCCCTGCTCAAATTGGCGTGAATCAGACAATTGCAGACCCGAAATGGTGATCATTTAGGATGGGAGTCGTGTACCACTTTTGAGGTGGTCCTTTATGAAAATTTCATGGCCAAATGGTCAGGGCATGTCTGAGACCACTTGGAGGTTGCTTATTAAAAGTCATCCCCAAGGATCAGGGCTAATCCACAAGCAGCAAGAGGCACCTTGCGCAACTTTGGGTGCCCGCCAGGTTTCTCCAAAAGACCCAAAGCTAGACCACCACGTTGGGCCTTTCTGCTCTGGTTTGATCTCATCCTTTTGGAACGAACGGTGCATCCTGTAGATACCCTCGTTCAGTCAATCTTTATTAAGTATCCCCCAATTGGATCTTAGTGAGGTTTCAACCGCCGGACCGAGTGGTGATTTGGTGCGCGCAATTTACCCAATGTTATGACCTTTACTACAGAAATTGTCAGTAGATATTGACTGTTGCTCATAAAAGGCTCCAGGGTAATCTTTTGCGGGTTGTCAAAGTCATGAACTGGGGTTGTTTCCCTCTATGACTTTGACACTGGACCACATAACTACACACCATTTCCCCCGCAAGCGGCTTGCGGGTCGAGCCCTCTAATTATCCGAGCCGCCACCATCTTCTCCGTGTGACTCTTCCTGGGCCACATGTCGCAACCAGTGGCCCGAAAGGTAGAATCTTAGAAGGCCCTCAGTTGGGAAGCCAACAAGTAAGAAGGGGAAAAGGGTCCTGGGCAGATTCCCCATTGCCAGACCAGCCGAGGATTCAAGTAGGGTGTCATTGGTTAGGGCTCTCTCGAAGGCCAGTCTGGACCAGTCTTGCGACTTGGGACCCGGAAGAGGCGTGGGTCATCTCCCCAAACCAAACATCAAACACGTGGGACGTGGGAGTTTTGCCACATGGACCTCCAAGGGGCGTCTATTAGCGGCTGTCACCTTTAGCCCTTCTCATGGAATCTTCTCTGCAATGAGGTCTCAACAAGGCATCCTCACCGAAGGCCCGAAGCCGCTTGGCCTAATCCAAAGACTTCTCTCATCTCTCTAAGAGGATCTCCACTCTCCGCAAGCTGGGAAACCAAACAGTTTTCTTGCTAAGACAAACCACGGCAGAAACACACCACAAACAAACATGGTCGTTTTTGCACCAAAACGGTTGGCATGTAACCACATGTAACCACTACTGCCAAATACAAACCCTCGCTGACCGGCTTCCGGCTGGGGCGACTGGCCACTTGGAGGTCAGAGCTTGCAGCAGCTGTCCAGGGCCCTCACTCCTTGGAGAGGCAGCGGAAGCTCTGAACGATTTCGTGCGCTGGCAACGTTGAATTCCCCCAAGCGTCAAGTGGGGGTCTCCTCAAAAACCAACCCAGCGGATCCCGATTTCCCCAAAAGAGAATTCCAACATAGAACTTGTAGAGGGGCAAAAGTCCTTGCCAGCCTCAAACTCAAGAAGCAAATGGTAGCAGCAGGTGTGCAGCTCCAACAAGGTATGCTCGCCACAAAGGAGGCAAATAGTTGAGGGATTGGTGATCAACTTGAACTAGTTCTTTTCTATCTCACAATCTTCAACCTAATGAACTAACATCGGCATGGTTGTCCCCAAGACCTCCCAAGACCTCCCAAGACCCCCCCTCAAGTGGTACATTGGCTCCTGAATTCCCTTCAGGGCTATGCAGCCGCGTCTCGCCACGGCTTCTTGCGACACCTCCGGGCCTTCCTCCGAGCTGTCGGAGTCCGAGTCCGAGTCCGAGCCCTGGCGGACTTGCTGGCCACTCCCAACCACTGCTTTTTGGAGCCTTGGGATGTGTGGAGCACGGGAAAGGCAGTTGTGTTCCGGCGGGTGCCGCTTGTAGGTGTTTGTTTTTTGTGGCTAATTACAACTAGGTATTGCGCTGTTAAAATGGAAACCATAAGGAACCGCCTTGTAAACCGAAAGGGAAAACCACTCAACTTGGAGGTTTTCCGTCAGGTACCCAAATAAAAAGAAGAGCCGCCCATTTGATCGCCCGGTGCCTGGTTTCTCGTCCCCCCCGGCCTCCTCCGATTGCAAGTTCAAGACGCTGGCTGCAGGCACGCTCGTCGTCAAGTGGTTGCGCCTGGCCGAGACTCCGGGTGAGCCGAAGGTGGGATGTGACTACAAGAAGAACTGGGAGGTTTATTTTTGGAGTTGGTACCCCTTGTTTCTTGGTTGGTTTTGGAGGGGGCTTGCTTTTGGAGGGGGGCCCTAAAAACAAGTGATGACTGGGACCAGCGTCCTATGAGAAGTGAAAGAAGGAGACCTTTACTAAAGGCCCATGTTTGGAGTAAAAACGAGTGAACCTTGTCATTATAGGTGTCCTTTTGGACAAACAAATGGCATTGGTCAATGATTCGAACCAAATTGAAACCCATGCCATCCTTCATCAATCCGACCTGAAGAGGACACCTAGCTATGGATTGCCTTTTTTGGGAAGCACTGCTAAGCCGGTCAAAGGGAATGTCAAGTCGGTCAGCGGGATCGCTCGCGCAACTGGGTGGGATTGCCGATTCAGGGCTGAAGCCATCGTTGAACTCGCTGATTTATTTTTTGACTCAAAGAGTACCAAGGGAGATTTCCGTCGTCCTTCCCTTCCCCGCTAAGCTCGTGCTCCAACCTCACGCGTAGTCACAGCTCCGTTAGCAGGAACCCTTGCCGTGCGTGTCAAAATTCCCAGGTCTGGCCTTGCCAGGCAAAAGGGTGTCAACTGACCATGGCACATGTCGGTACCCTATACGGGTTTGTCTCAAAATGGTTGTCACCATGCGTGCAATGCGGTTGCTTTTTGCTGTAAAAGCGATTCCCCCAAAATGCGACCCCTCCTCCCCGCCAATCATGGGGCTGCCTTTAAAGGGGATACCCTGCTAGGAGCATACTAGCAGAATGGCTTCGAACCCAAAACACGGCCAGATGTCCGTGTGACCCGATCAAAACACCTTCTGTAGGCCATCATCATTCCCTTGGAAATCCTTATCATGGTCATTGGTTAAGCAAACATTTCAGGTAGGGGTTCGTGAGCTCATGATCCCCACGAGAAAATGAACTGGATTTGCCAATAAACCGTGCAGACCTGAGGGCAGCATCCGCGCCTTTGGAGCAAGCGAGAGCTGACCTTCTCCTCCAAAGACTGCTTCAGCCTGGAAGATATGCCACTTGAGGGCTCGGTACCCGCTAGGTTCCGAATTTGTGCTGCTTCGAAAGGGGAAAAAGGGGAATCAAAGGGAACCGAAAGGGGGAACAAAGGTCATTTGAACCACCCATCAGGCTCAATCCATTTTGAGGTATCCAAGTGGGCTGAGTGTGTTTGAGCTGCCCTTTTCAGGCGTTGTTTTCTGAAGTCAAACGGACACCGGGCAACCGGAGCTCGGACAAGGACATGGGAACATGAGACTTCCTCTGGACGTGAAAAAGTTTGGAACCACAAACTCATCCACAACCCACCCTCCTTTTTGCGTGCCATGGCATTTGCCCCTGGGAAATATGGGGTAGGTGAGGGAGGGGGGGGGTTCGCCAACCAGAAGACGAGCAGCTCCTACTGAAGATGCGAGAAAAACAACAAAAAAGCCACCGGGTCGTGGGTCGTGCGACTTCGACTCCGGGCCTCGCTTCATCATCCTGGCCGGCTCCGGTCGCAAGTTTCTCCATAGGAACGCTGGATGCCCCTGCCGTCTCCCAAGTGGCCGTAATTCCCCATGGCTCTGGGGTTGAGTATGGTTGGTTGACTCGCAACATATAGGGCACCACCTTAGCCAGGGACAACCGTCCAATGAGAAATGCCGTAAAAAACATAGTGCTTACCTGCTATCCTGGAAACCGGCTCGGAGGAGGCAGGTAAACCTGATAAGAGACCTACACCACACCCATACCGCCGGAAATCTGCAGCTTGCTTGGAACAGTCCCTTCATCCTAGTCTATCTTTTGGATTGATTGTTCCAGCCTTTTCGACAAGAGGCGCCGCAATCGCGAGCTGACGCGCTGTTTCCAAGGCCAGGGGGTTGATTAGTTTCAATCGGGGGCAACAAGCCAACTGGGTGTTTGCCACAGGCGTCCCCTGAATAAAAAGCAGCGGTTTGCGTTTAGCTTCCCTTTTACCACCAACCAAACAAGAGCCTTCTCTCCCACCTTTTTGACATATCCCCCCCAGTGCTTTTTGAAGATCGCCTTTGAGCAGAAGACAAAGCCATTGCCAAGACAGTATGGCCACTAGAAACAAAGCAATCAAAGCCGGGTAGGAAAGGATTTGCGGCACAGAACCATGTGGAAGAATCACCAGAGCACATGTCCAAACCTGTTTCTGGCAAGGGGACTGTCCCTTCAAGTTTTCACGTTGCCGAGTTTTGACCGTAACCTTAGATGCGGCAATTGCCCATTGCCTCTGTGCTTGCGGACGGGAAAAGCAGCTGTTGCATGGGGACATGGGCAAGATTGTGTCTCAACGCTACCGCCAAAAAACAATGGGGTATACAACCACCCAACCACTAGTTGTGTACACACTAAACATGGTGTGTATGGGTGTGTATATTCACAATAACATGCAGTTGGAGTGAGTGGCTTGGGGGTAGTGGAAACCTTCTTCGGAAGATTCTTTCTTCTTGCAGCGACTAGCCTTGCTTGTCTGCGGAAGGTGGTGTCTTCCGGGTCCAGCAAGCTGCCAGCATCAAACATCTGTGCGTGTGAATGGGCTTGAAGCAGGGACGAACATGGGAAGGGCGTGGTTCTGGAAATGAGAAAGGACTCAGTTCGAGGTGACGACTGCGGGGTTCCCTTAGTTTACTGGAGAATCAGGGGTTCCAATTCGCAAAACGGAAAAGAAACGGTCAAGAAATGAACTCTTGCTCATCCTTCACTTTCGACGGCCGCTTCAGCCATGCACTTTCGGTCCTCGTCATTAACAGCTGCTCGCGCAAAGTTGGACATCTGTCGTCAAACCTGCCGTTGCATCACTCATTGGCAGAAAGCGGGGCCAACTATACAACTCTTCCTGCCCCCTGGTAAAAAGGCTCCTCCGAACACGGACCCTTCTGCCATTTGCCTCTGAATAGCCGCCCTGTGGCCGGGTGTTACGGAAGTGTGGCCATGTCAAGCTCCAACATGCCAAACCTTGGAACAAAAAAGACACACCGATTAATCTTTTTGTAGCTAGAGACAACGCAAAAAAAAAGAGTGCACAATGCAAAACAACCCCAGGTCTGTTGTTGAGGAGACAAACGGTCTGTCGGGCCTTGACTCTTGGCAGCGGGCCATGTGCGACCCAACGCGGAGTCTGTGTTTGGGTAGGAGTCTACAAAGCATCGGTTCGCCATTTGGGCAGAGCTCATACTTTTTAAGGCGAAGGGTGTTCACCTTCAAAGGGGACGCAAGAGAAAACCGGAAACCCATTTTGGGCCCTATATGGTTGACACATTCGTACCCAAATTTAGGTTGCTGGGTTTGTCGCCTTATAAAGACGCGGTTGGGGGCACTTCAAAAGGGTCTAAAACAAAGAAAAGTGCGTGATGGAAACGGCTTGGTGTCCCGGTCTCGCAGCTTTGGCTCAACCGCTTGAGCCGCAAGATTCGCCAACGGAGCCAAATTCGAGCCACGGTCACTATGGACGTGAATTCCGCGGGTCGCTTTTCATAGGTTTGTTTACGTCCACCAGCCGTTTTGCAAGGCAGAAAAGCTCAACATCTGCATGGGGTTCCATGTTCTCCCGTCATTTGGGCGGGTCTTCCCCTTCAAAAGCCAAAAACGCAATGTGAGCAGCGCCCTAAACCGTTTCTGGCTTTTGGTTCTAGGCGGTTATGAAGCGGTCTAACCACGACAAGCGCAAGAAGTAGAACCTGTGGGTCAACATCCGGCTCAATCGCAAGCACCTGAAGGACCTCCTCGGAGACCAGGGCATTGCTGAGGTCCTGAACGAGACTTGGATCGATTTGAGCCATGTGAAGGAAGGGACGGGCTACGCAGTCGTGGGAAAGCTGGGAGTTGTTTGTCCGTTCAGTTGAGAAGGAGCTCAAGTGAATAGTTTCTTGCAGGACAACAAAAGCCTCTCTCAACCGCAAAACGGAGGAAACTTCAGCAACTCTGCCGGTTCTGCAAAAAACACTTGCTGGTTTGCCCTGCTGTTTTTGTTTCTGCTGAGAACCTAATTTTAGCTGTTCTCGTGGCTGCACATCCCAATGTTGCACTGGTTCCCTCCAAATATGTGGTCAGGCACAGGAGGAAGGTCCCGGAAAGTGGGGAGCAAATCTAGGTCCTCCAGTGGAGAGGTTGGAATAAGGGTACCAACTTTTTTCTGTAGTCTATCTTAGTAGGGGAACCCTCCCCCAAAAAAGAAATGGTAAAAGGACACTACTGGGGAACCTAGAAATCTGTTTCTACCAACGCGCCTTGATCTCGCTGCGGATCTGGATGGCCCCCTCGAAGTCGTCATTCGCCACGGCAGCCTGGCAAATCGATTGCTGAAACCTGGGTTTTTTTGTATGGGTGAAGACAAGGGTCCCTTACCAGCACCCCCCCCCCAACCACTGCCGTTTTGGAACGTACCTGGGGATTTACATGGGCAAACGCAGTTGTAGGGGGGTGCTTGGCAAAGATTGTTGGTTTACTTATTGTTTCCTTTTAATACCAACTAAAAAGGGTTCTTTGTATGAGCAGCGGACAATACCAGTGGTGTGTTGTTCATTTGGTGACGACGTGGACCCAATTGAACCAACTGTCAGTAATACCTCACTTGGCCAAAAAGACGTTCGGGGAAAGCACCGGAAAATGGCGCAGGGAAGACCAGCCATAAGCCCGAACCAGGTCTGATGGCACATATGTCCCCTTGATCAGCCCACCCAAAGGAAACTCAGACAAGATAGGCCTGCGGTCAATGAATGCGTTGAGACAAGATAGGCCCAAATGGTGATTCAGATCACAAAAAAAGAAAAACATGTAGGACTCCTCATATCCCCGTGCCCCAACAAAAATGCGAAGTGCGCTCTGCATAATCAGACTTGATGTCCTTCTGGTGAACCAGTTTACCCCGAAGCCACTGTCTTTTCGACCCTCCCACCACCTCATGCCATACATTTTGCCAAGAAGTCCCAACCGTTCGTGTTTACCGTAGTTCACCAAGGGCACCAAGCAGGCAGCGGCTGGTTATGGTAATTTCTGGGATCCAGGGAACCCGAAAGTCCGTTTTTCATGTTCACCTGACTTCCCTCAAACCCACGGTGTCTCAGAGGTCGGGCCAAACTCTCGATCTGCTCGCCTTCTTCCGCTCTTCCGCCGCATGGAGCCTCATCAGCACATCGCTGTTGGCCTCGGATCCAGGGGCGAAGCCCTGCTTGATCGATTCACGGGGGCCCAATCCGGAGGGTCCAAGTGCTGTTCAACCTCTGAGGGGTCAAAAGGGGTTAAAGTACCCCAGAAAAATCCAAGAAACGGCTCTTCAAATTGGTTTTTGGTGGGTCAAGAAGGGCCCCTGAGCACCGCAGAAGGTACCTGGACTGTGAGGGAGACAACTGCAGCTTCCGAAGGCCCCTGCCTTGCACTGCAAGGCTTCGTCAAAGCGGCCCAGGCTGCACAAGCTCTGGGCCAGAGCACGTGCCTCAGGGAGAAGGCACAAGCTCCAACTAAGTATTCACCTTCACTGCTCAAATGACTAGCCTGAAACAAGAAACAAATCCCTGGGGCCAGTACTAAGATTATGAAGACCTCTTTGCGGCAGTCTACTTTTCCCCGAATGGGCTTGACTCTTCAAACATGGTTGACCCTCCAGTGTGCTTGTGTCCTTCTATATGGCCATGGGTCAAAATCCAAATCGTACCCCCAGTGAACATCCCAATCCAACCGCTAAAATAGGTTATTTTTCTGGGTGGTGAATTCACCTACCAAAATGGAATCCCAAAACGGCTTCGACCACGGCCATATTCCTTCAATACGAGCCCAGGCTTGGACCTCCCAAATCCACAAATCCCCAAGTCCGATTGAATCGGATCCCATCGCCTCTCCCACTTCGCTTCCATCGACCTCCTGAGTCCCGCATAGGACTTGGTCCGTTTTCCCACACCGGGGGACAACTCTTTGCTGGCACCGGCAATTCAAGAGGCAATTGTTGTACCGATTTATCTAGGGACTTATCAAGCCAGGTACAGCACTAGAACCAACTAAAATGGCTTGTGGGTTTTGGGCGCTGTTTAGATGTCCCTCATATTGACCGTGAACAAGTCCGGTCTCGCTCCCCGTCCTCTGCGGCGAACGACGCAAACGGCTCGGCAGGTCCTGAATGCAAGCTCCAAAAGGGGCGCGTTGAATTCCGACATGAGAACATCACGGGGATTACAAACCAAAGGTTGTGACATCTACTTACACCCAACTCTGTAAGCATTTATGCCCACAGCCCACGAATCATTTGTTGGAGGATGTTGCCCATAAGATCCCTTGCTTGGCTCCATGCTTGCCCTTCACCCTTCAAATTCAGGATAAGAGGGGAGTTCGGGAGCTATGGAGCCCAGCCAAGGATAGCCCTGGCCAGCTGTCCGAGCCAAGCACCCGAGTCATCCCGGCACCTCAACCGGTTCTCTTGCGGTGGACTCCCGTTGTTTGGACCTAAAGCGGCGTGATCGTTTTTCGGACTTGCACGTCCACGGAACATGTCTTGGACTCCTCATGTGGTAGAACAAAGCCAATATTTGGCTGTTGCACAGATCTGGACAACTGGATGTCAAATGGCTTCAAGAGGCCTAGAAGGAATTGCACCCCCAAGGAAGCTTGGACTATGAACCAGGCTTCCTATATTTCCCTTCAAACATCACCCCACCAGAAGACTCGCTTAAACGGGAAACATGTTATAGGGACTCCTGAAGGAACTACGGCCTCAGAGCAAGCTCCGCACGCTGGGCTCTGGGCGAATCCGGGCTCAACGCCGGAACAGCCTGGGTGAGTCAAGCGCATTCGGCAACTTGGACCTCCAGGTCAGTACTTGCGTTGAATGGGTTCGAAGCAATGGGTTCTTGGATGCTACACATATTAGAGTTGATCTATAATGATATATATAGATATATGTATATGTTTATATATGTATGTATATATATATATATATATACATATGCGCAAGCATCCATGTTCGTATACATATACACATATATATGTATATTAATGTATATATATTCTAGAGAGAGTCCAGTCCAGCGTTGACCGAATTCTTTGCCGTGGGGAATTCGGCTGGCGCGGCACAGATCTCCGCTCCCCGAGCTCCGAGCCGAGGGCTCGGCTTCGAAGTCGAAAAGGTCCACCTGCATCGATCGACCCAAGCGCTGCGGATGTGACTCTGGTGTGACCCGAGTCGGGAAAACGACGGAAACCCAAAAGCCCAACCAGTGGAACAAGTGCAAAACAAACAAAACAAAAAAACAAAACGCTTGGTATGTTTAAAGGGGCCAAACTGGAAACCAATCTTGGGCCAAATCCTCTGAGAAACGCCCCTGCCGAAAGTCGACACCGGAAGCCCATGCCTTGGGAGCTCGCGACGAACCTGCGGGAATGGAAGCCGCGACAGCGCCCCGTGGCAAAACCCAACGACCATTGGAAAAATGGCTACGTCAAGATCATGACCGTGGTTTGCCGAAGTTTCATCATCTAAGTTGGGTCAACCACTGTTTGAATGGGAGTTTCATGATCCAAAGTGGGTCCTTGCCAGTATTGCCGGCGTTCTTTGTCGAGATGCCCACTCGGCTCGACCGATTTCCCGGGCCTGCAGCTCCTAACGGCATGCAAATTCGCCCACAGGATGTGCGGGTGTCAACCAGTTGCCACTAATGGCTTTGTCTGTTGTTGGGGAGACACGCCATAACAGTGGGTTTTCTGTTGGTTTCCTTTGGACACACCCTAATGGAATCCCGGATTCGTGAATCACTGGTTGATGAACAGCAGGGTGTCTTTCAGTGAGAATCCGGATCACTTTTGGGCCCGACTTATAGGACGGGTGTATGGTCAACATTATGGAGGTAACCATAGTCTCTTACCTCGGCGATTTCCCCTGATTTCCTCTTATGGCGGCTGGAAGCTTGCGACAAAGTCAACTTCCAAACCTGGCAATGTCAACTTAAGTTTTATGAATGGCCCCGAATTAATAAAATCCTGGGCCAGCCAGACCCGCTTTTCACACAATACTGAATTAAGGAGGGGCTGATTCAAAAGCTCATTGCAAAAATCCCAGATCGTCGCCCCTTGGACCCACATTTATAAACCACCCCCAAACACTCACATTAGTAAAATTCACCAGCCCCGGGACCAAAACTTCAGGATCCTAAAAGCAGGGATTGAACAAATCAGTCAAAAGAACAGGT